AAAGAAGTCACAGAAGACCACACTATTCAAATTCATTTATACAAAATGTTCTGAATAGGCAAATCTATAGAGAAAGTAAATTAATGGTTGTTTAGGGCTGAGAGAAATGGGAGATTGAGAAATGATAACTAAAGGGTACAGGGCTTCTTTCTAGACTGATGAAAATGCTCAAAAATTGATTGTGATGATGGCTGCATAACTATGTGGATATATTTTTAAAAATCACTGAACTGTACAATTTAAATGGATGAATTACATGGTATGTGAATTATATCTCAATATCTTAATAAAGCTGTTAAAAAACCTGACTGCCCAGATAGTGGGATTAAGCCTGGCGTCAGCCTTCCGGTGCTGGGTGTGGAGCCTGCTTAAGATTCTCTCTCCCTCTTCCGTTGCCCTTACCCCACTCGTTCTTCCCGCACATGTGCTCTCTCTCAAAAACAAAACAAAACAAAACATCTTACTTTTGAGAGCAAAACAACAAGGCCACTTAGAACTCAAACATTTGCTTCATTTAAACCTTGTAAAATGACATTTCATTACATCAGATTTTCATGAATGAAAGATAACTATAATGTCATGAAAGATGAAGGGGGAAAAATCAACATCTTAGGAGAAAAGAAACTTCACAATTTAGCTTTAGCTTCTTGATTTATAAAATGAAAGAATGGTTCTCCAAACTCATGTTTTCCTCATTTTAAAAGAGAAAAATGTGTTTGTGTGTGTGTATGCATGTTTGGGGGGATAGGGAGAGGTGTATTCCCAATGTGTGGGTCCTCCTTCCAGAGGTTCATGTTATTTGCATATAACTGACCCCAGTAATACCATCTCTGGTGAGAATCAATAAATCTAAACACCATTATACAGATCCTCTAGTTATCACTGCCTAAAAAATTAGTAAATTAAGAACATGCCAATAGTTAGACTTAGGGTATATTTGTATGTCCTTCTTTCTGGCTAATAAGATTCTTTTGAAGAATAATAATATGCTTGGTAAACAGAAATCATTCTTTTAAAATCTTAACAGTTAATATGATAAAAACAGGATATTGTTTTTTACTCCACTAAAATGTCCCACAAGACTGTTATTTATTGTTCACAGCAAAAGCCTTATATTACTTTGAATATCTATCCATTGACAGTGGTTTATCAAGTGATGATATATCTCATACCTTAGGAGCTTTTCAAGAGCCATTTGTACTAAAACAGAGATGTTACACTTATTTGACAATCCTAAAAATTACTTTAATTGTAGGAGTCTACTCAAATGTTTTAAAATGACCCTATATCAAATAAATTCATAACTCTTGTCTGACACATAGTATATAATCAACACATAGTTCCCTGTCTATTCGCTGCAAATTATTCAAGTAACCCAGAGATTTCCAAGTCAAGATGGATGAGTAAGTGTACATGAACACTTTTTTCTCTCTGCTATAAGCACATACAAAGGGTAGAACAATTATTAAAGATATATATCCCTTAAGCCAATCATAAAATTCACATAGAAATACAAAGAGTGGTCAATAGTCAATCCTGAGAAAGGACAACGTTGAAAAACTCATACTTCCCAACTTCAAAACTTACCACAAAGCTAGAGTAATCAAGTCAGAGTAGTACTGTCATAAGGATTATATACGTATGTGTGTGTGTGTGTGTGTGTGTGTACACATATACGTGTGTGTATATATATATATATATATATATATATATATGTATGTGTATATATGTATGTATATATGTGTGTGTGTATATACACATATATACATATATATGTACGTGTATATATATGTACATATGTATAATTGTGTGTGTGTGTGTATATATGTATATATATATATGTATGTATATATGTATATAAACACAGAAATAAGCCTTTACATTCAAGGTCAACTGAATTTCACCAAAGGTATCAAGATAATTCATAAGAGAAAACACAGTCTTTTCAACAAATGGTTGCCAGAACTGGATATTCCAATTCAAAAGAATAAAGCTGGATCCCTTCCTTATACCACAAACACAAATTAACTCAAAATGGAGCACAGACCTAAAATAAAGAGCTAAAACTATAAAATACTTAGAAGAAAACATAGAAGTAAATCTTCATGACTTTGGATTAGGCAATAGTTTCTTAGATAAGACACTGAAAGCAAAAGCTACCAAAGAATAGATAAATTGAACTACATCAAAATTAAAACCTTTCATGCTGCAAGTCGTATCACCAAGAAAGTGAAATGAAGAACAAGCCAAAGAATTGAAGAAAATATACACAAATCATGTATCTTATAAGGGACTGATACCCAAAATATATAAAGAACTCTTATAACCCAGTAACAAAATGACAAAGAACCCAATTTAAAAATGGGCAAAAGATCTGAATAGATATTTCTCCAGAGAAGATATACAAATGGCCAATAAACACATGAAAAGATGTTCAGTATTATTATCAATTAGGGCAAATCAAAACCACAATGAAATATTACTTCACACCCACTAAGATGGCTAAAATAGATAATAACAAGTGTTGATGAGAATACAGAGAAATTAAAACTCTCATATATACATTGCTGATGGAAATGTAAGATGGCATAGCAACTTGGGAAATAGTCTGGCAATCCATCCAAAAACGCTGAACACAGTTGCCTTATAATCCAGCAATTCTACTCCTAGGTATATATCCAAGAAACTGAAAACATACATCTACCTAAAAACCAGTACGTGAATGTTCAGAGCAACATTATTCGCAATAGCCAAAAAATGGAAATAATCCATGTGTCCATCAACTGATGATGGATAAACAAAATCTACAGTGGAGAGCAGGGGCTAAAGACAGGAGGTACTTGCGTACCAAGATCAAAAAAAGAAGGTGTAGAGGTTAGTAATTTAACTTCTTAGAATAATAAGGAAAGATACAATAGCCAGGCTCTCTGAGGTCTACAACTGGGCACTTGCCCATAAACCAAGTGCTGGTAAAATACTCTGACAGCTAATTCAGAAATGCGCCTAGGAATAAAATTCTTGCCCACGGCAGAGATAAGCAACAGAAACCTATGCAATAGGAATTAGGCCCTGAGCATACCTGGGGATTGGAACTCAATTTCCTCATGGGACAAAATTCCTCTACCTCCTAAATATAAGAATTGGTTCTGAGATGTGGATCCCAGGGTGCCAGACTAAGGCAAAACTGCCCTATAGGGAGAAGCAATAACAGGGAGGAAAAAAAATAAAAAGAATTAATTCTCTCAAGACAAATTTGCCAACCAATATAAAACAGACTACAAAGCATACGAGGAAATCCAACACCACTTAAAAATAACAATAAAGCACAAATAACTAAAATTCCTTGTGAAGAAATTGGAAAATGCAAGTGAAGATAATTCCACCTCCCAGAGACAATTCCTGGTAAGACATTGTACACACCACTGACTTGTGGGTATATATATAAACGAATACAAATATCCTATGTAATGTTTAACAGATCATAGTCTATGTATTGTTTAACAACTGACATTTCCACATCATAAACATCCTATCAATAAATGTATTTCAATATTTTATTGTTCTATTGTATTCCATTGTTCTAACAGATCAAAACTATAAATGGTTCTCTACTGTCACGACTTAACATTACTGTTAAATTATTGGAAATTACTGTTAATTTCAGAAGGTGTGATAAATAGCATTGTGATTATGTCTTTTAGAAATATTTATCAATTACCAATTCGTACGAGAGTATTTTATGAGTGAAGTGAAAGAATATTTGGAAATGGCTTTAAATTACTGGAGAAAAAAAGTAAAGTGGTAAGCACAATAAAGGTTGATAGAATGCTGATAATTGTTGAAGCTGGATGAGGGGTACATGAAGGTTTCTTATTTTCACTCTACTTGATAATATTTAGAAATTTCATTATAGGGGCGCCTGGGTGGCGCAGTCGGTTAAGCGTCCGACTTCAGCCAGGTCACAATCTCGCGGTCCGGGAGTTCGAGCCCCGCGTCGGGCTCTGGGCTGATGGCTCGGAGCCTGGAGCCTGTTTCCGATTCTGTGTCTCCCTCTCTCTCTGCCCCTCCCCCGTTCATGCTCTGTCTCTCTCTGTCCCAAAAATAAATAAACGTTGAAAAAAAAAAAAAATTTTAGAAATTTCATTATAAAAAAAAAAGTTTCATTATATAGATCCCTATATCCTTTAACTGAAAATGAGATATTGGGTTTGTTGTTGTGAGGCAAACAAGCAATTCCATTTCTGTATACACTATTTGACTATATTATTTGTATGTTCAGGAATTTCCTGGAAATAAGTGATGAGTTATACAGTTAATTCCACTAATTTACAATAGCCAACAATGAAGATGCTTAGGATGACTGTACAAAATCTGAAATTAAAAATATATTTAGCCTTTCTAATTCCAACTTTCTTTCAAAAAGAGTGTGTTATGTTATAAACCAAAATTGAAATGGGTTGAATAGGTAATAAATGATAAACACCTCAGGCTTAATATGCAAAACAATATAATAAATATCATAATAAACAATAGATAAATGTTCATTTAATGCACAAAATTACATTTAATAACCTGGTATTGAAGCATTTTTCATTTCTCAGGTTCTTAATTTGAAAAGCTATTTATCTTAGAATTCCCCTCCATACGATCCTGAAGATTGGCTAAGATAAAATTCTAGAGTCTGAGTTTTACATACTTTATAAATCAAAGGAATACAAATTTGGAGATTTCACTCAATATTTTCAAGAGCTTGTGTATTACTGTAAAACAAATTTATTAATAAACAAATTTATTAATAAATAATAGGGCATGAATGCAACCATAAAACTCAATAGGCAATAACATCAATAAATGCCCCAGGAAATATGTTTTATACACAAATATCACTTCTGATTGTTTAATACGTAAAAGACATTTTTCTACTGCCCCCACCTCCATCTCAATTCTTTTAACAATAGAGCTTTCTAAGTCTAAAATATTTGAGTAAGACTGTAACTAACCTTTATATATGCACTTGGGTAGATCTTATGAACAGCATCTCCAGGTGCACGGCCCGCTTCTCTGTCTAAGTAGTAACTCTGCACAAAGACTGCATGGTCGCTAAGGCACCTGACCCAAACATCACCTTCACCTTTACATTCCAGCTGCACACCTTTGCCTATGTGCAACCTTAGGAAGAAAAAGAGAATCACATTTTGTTTGGATAAGTATTTAAAAATAAGTTTTGGTTCAGATTATATTGCATACCCAATATTAAAAAAAATTTTTAAATAAAAGACATTATATTACACCATAACTGAAAGACAGCCATTATTAACATTCTGGCGTATTTCCTTTTTTAAAATCTTATTCATATAAAATAACGATGAGCATATACATTATGTTTACTACCTGCTGAATACTTAAACATAAATCCTCACTTAACCTTTACAATTCAGTAAGGTAGATACCATTAAACCCATTTTATAAATGTTGAAACTAAAGCTTATAAAAGCATATAGTTACACTGTCCAAGTCAACAGCTACTAGCTACATGTGACTATTTAAATTAAACTAATTATAAAATTCAGTTAATCATATGAACCATATTCTAACTGCTCAATAGCCATGTTTTAATGTAGGCAGTGGCTACTGCAGTGAACAGCACAGATATAAACTATCTTCTTCATCACAGATAATTCTATTAGCACCAGCTTAGAGAGTAATTCACCAAAGTCACATAGCTAGTGATAGAACCATGAGTACATACTTATGCACATATATACTTCAAGAGTTGAGATCATAAAGTGCCTAAAACTATTATATTTTCCTATAATATTTCATCTTAAGCATTTACATTTGATATATAAACTTTTAATTAACATTTTAATGACTACATAAAAAATGAAAGTTCATCAAAATTTACTTAAGCATTACCCTTTATCATTTTTCCAACATTACAAATAATATTTACAAAAACATCCTCGTTTTACATTACTTCCTCTCAACAGATTTGTAGAAATAATATATGATCAGAGGAAACAAAGATTAGTTTTCAAACTGGATACCAAAAGGTCTAGTTTACTATTCAAAACATAGAAACGTCATTAACTTAAACAAGACTTTTTATTATATCTTAAATAACAAACATCCACAATTATACTGCAGTGCTTACAAATTTTCTGACTTTTTAAGATGATCTTTACTTTTTTGTCTATATTCAAAATCTTGTAAGTCTACACTGAAAAACAGAACTTAGAATACATGACAATGGGGGCGCCTGGGTCGCTCAGTCGGTTAAGCGTTCGATTTTGGCTCAGGTCGTGATCTCACGGCTCCTGAGTTTGAGCCCCACAGAGCCTTGTCTCCCTCTCTCTCTGCCCCTCCCCTGCTCTCTCTCTCAAAAAATAAATAAACATTAAAAAATTTTTGAAGAATAAATGACAATGTACTATATTCAATTTTTAAAATAACTATACAGTCAACAATACCTTGCTCTTTCAATGGCTTCTGTCCTGTGGACATTCGAGAGTTGACCCAAGCAAAAGCGATCTCCTCCAGAAGGGTCCACATATCCATCAACAGTAACAATAGGGCAGCTTGAAGGAACCTTAAATGTCTCTCCAACTTGAACATCCATTTCAAAGTAAGCAATGGAACACCAATACTCAGGAGCTACAGAGGATAAACAGGAGAACACCTACCCATGTAAGATACAAAGCATTCACTTTCACTTAAGACAAAGCTTTTCCTAAAAGAAAGGGTGAAGGGAAGAGACAGGCATTTGAAAAGCACCCAAAAGAATTTGATGAAAATGACAATGTATTAAAAGTAGGCACTTCCAAGGCACCTGGGGGCCTCAGACGGTTAAACACCCGACTTCGGCTCAGGACATGATCTCACAGTTTGTGTGTCAGGTTCTGCACTGACAGCTCAGAGCCTGAGCCTACTTGGGATTCTGTATCCCCCTCTGTCTCTCTGCCCCTCCCCTGCTTGTGCTTGCTCTCTCAAAAATAAACAAACATCAAAAAAAAAAGTAGACACTTCCATGTCTTCCATTTTTCAGCTCAGTACCTAGCATTCTTGAAACTGTAGTCATTTTTAAAATCTGGACATTGGTTCTTACCTCAAAGGACACAGTCAACTAGGAATTTAAAGAATGGAAGTAATTAGAATCTAAAATAAATTATTTTATCATAGTGTTTCATTTGGCTGCATATATTTTCTACGTAGTCTAACTTGTATTTTTTTAAAACACACTGACTCTAAGACATATTCCAGGGAAGTGTTCTTGAGTAACATCAATTTATGGCATATTTGTATAGATCCCTAATTGAGAGACAGGGCATAAGCAAGTCAGCCATCCCAGACTAGAGTCAAGGTTAATCACACTCCACTACACAGTTGCTCTGGATAGGAATTCTCAACTGTCTCTTGATTGAAAGGTCGTTTTTGGTGAAGTCAATTGATGTTAACTACTACAATTTTAACTCTGAAGATGTATTCCGTGTATTCATTTAAGCAACGATAAATGATTTAAAATAATTTTAAATGGGATTGGGAAAAAAGGCACTACTTGGTTTGATTTGCAAATATAGTTGATCAAGTATTTCTAATTTTTGTTTGAATACAATTATTAGAGACAACATAAATGGAAATTATTTGGTTTTCCTTTAACAAACAATTTATAGGGTATCTAGGAATTATTCTAATTTTTTTTTTAATGCTTATTTATTTTTGAGAGAGACAGAGACAGAGACAGAGTGCAAGCAGGGGAGGGGCAGAGAGAGAGAGGGAGACACAGAACCTGAAACAGGCTCCAGGCTCCGGGCTGTCAGCACACAGCCCTACATGGGGCTCAAACTCATGAAACCTGAGATCATGACCTGAGCTGAAGTCAGACGCTTAACTGACTGAGCCACCCAGGCACCCCTCTAGAAATTATTCTAGGCATGGCATACAACAGCAATAATCAGGACCGCTACTGTCCCTAATCTCATGGAAATGCAGAGGCAAATAAGGAGATAAATGAGTGAGATGACTCAGGTAATGATAAATACTGTAAAGAAAATAAAATGGGGTGTGGAACAGAAGATGATTGGAAAGAATCATCAGATTAGAGGGCAGGAGTACATCCTATCTGAAAAGATAAACTTTGAAAGACCACATACTTATGTAAAGACTGTGAACAGAACACTTCAAGAAGAAAGCAAATGATGTGCTCACTTCAGCAGCACATATACTAAGAAGAAAGCAAATGCAAAGGCCCTGGAATAAAAATGGATTTGAGTTATTTAAGGGGGAAAAGGCCACTGCCACTTACTAGAGAATGAAAGCTTTCTTTAAAAAAAAAATTTTTTTTTAACATTTATTCATTTTTGAGAGACAGAGAGAGACAGAGCATGAGCAGGGAAGGGGAAGAGAGAGGGAGACACAGAATCCGAAGCAGGCTCCAGGCTCCGAGCTGTCAGCACAGAGCCCGACGCAGGGCTTGAACTCATGAACTATGAGATCGTGATCTGAGCCGAAGTCAGATGCTCAACCAACTAAGCCACCCAGGTGCCCCTGAAAGCTTTCTGCTGATAAACCAATTATTGATCTGCTTCTCAATGTGCCCTTTATGAACTCTGACTCATCTAAAATTTTCAGCAATAAAACTTTCAACAATCTATAAAGATACTTGGGATGACAAAACAATAGATCTTCTCAAACTCCCAAAATATCTTAAAATGAAGTATGACAGACATTTCAAATATATTTTCAAAAATCTTGTAAAATCTATGTATCTAATTGCTTTTCGAATGTTGTCAAGGGGGTGCCTAGGTGGCTCAGTAGGACTGAGCGTCCAACTTCGGCTCAGGTCATGATCTCGCGGTTCCTGGGTTTGAGCCCCAAGTCGGGCTCAGCTCAGAGCCCAACGCGGGGCTCGAACTCCTGGACCGCGAGATCGTGACCTGGCTGAAGTCGTACGCTTAACCGACTGCGCCACCCAGGCGCCCCCAAAAATAAACATTTAAAACAAAAAACAAAAAAACAAAAATGCTGTCAAGGAAGAAAGTACTTTTCAACTAAGAATAAAACAGACCACATGAAGATGGTGATTCAAAAACTTAACTTGAAATGTTTTGCCACACAGATCAAATCAACTAATCACAAATACTTAAATTTCTTTAAATATGTTTGGTTATCATTAAACTTGAAAAGTAGTGATACACTGAAGTCCCCTCTTAAAAAAACAGTTTGAAATATTTATGAAGTTATTCTTTATAGAAAACATTCCATTATGCTATGAACCAAAAGCCTCAGCAAACGTAACTGGCAGGTATATTGGTTGAAGCTAAAACTAAAGAGGTTGTGTTAAGGTAAGTTAACAACTACCCAATGTTTTGGAAACAAAAAAAAAAAAAACAGTAATAGCACTTAAAAGAGGTCTTTACACAGTCCACACAATAAATTCTGTTACAAACAATGCCCTAAAGTCATGAATGTCTATAATGCTCAGTAAAAAATAAGGCGCAAGGATATGCATTTCCTAGTTCATACTGAAGAACACTATCCAGAAGTAAAGTTCCATGGTGAGCAACCTTTTTCCATTAGAGTCAATTTACGGGAGAAAAAGAGAATTGTATAATCTCCATGTTTAAGTAAGAAAAAAGATACTTTCATCATCATAACTATAATATCTGCAACTGCACTTAAACCTTATTTTATTTCCCAGTTGCCAAAGGGGTTTTCATTTACCTAATTATCTCAGATACCATACAGCAATGATGGTTACATAAAGCTGCATATCTGAATAGGTTTAGTATGAGTTGATCTCCTGCTACTGGGAAGAAGTATTTTAAGAAACTTGAAGTAAACAGAAACTGGCATCAGAACTGTACACCACTGATCAGGGAAGAAAAACGACGATCTGTTAAGAGATTATTAAGGCCTAAGAAAGGAGGAAGGAGGTTACCATCTAGGAGGACAGAGAGAACCAGAGGTAATCTAAGAGGGTTCCAGAGAACTTGGCAGTCCTGGGATACAGTATATAATGTGGAAAACTTTCCACTCTCAATTTGCTAATTGAGTAATAAACAGGAGTAAGGAATAAGAAGCACTCATTAAGACTTTTTAGATCCTGGGGCGCCTGGGTGGCTCACCTGGTTAAGCATCCAACTCTGGATTTTGACTCAGGTCATAATCTTATGGTTTGTGAGTTCAGGCCCCACATTCAGCTCTGTGCTAACAGTGCAGAGCCTACTTAGGATTCTCTCTTTCTCTGCCCTTCCCCTGCTTGTGCTCACACTCTCTCTCTCTTTCAAAATAAATAAATAAACTTAAAAAAAAAAAAAAGACTTTCTAGATCTCTCTTTGCTCTTCTGCTCCAAGGATCAAATGCCATATAAGTGATGAGCCTGCAGCTTCTCAAAACTAGTATTAACAGCAGGATGTAATTAGAGAGAACATTCTTAATAACTCAACAACACCTACCAAGATGGAGTGGGATTATTAATGTGCTTGCTCATTTGATACTTTTAGCTCCTTGTTGCTGAACTAGTGAAGTTGAGCTGGTCTCATGAAGCCTATGGACTGCTCATTACTGGTCAAAGGTTTTTATGTATTTATTTTTTAATGTTCACTTATTCTTTGGAGGGAGGGAGGGCAGAGAGAGAGAGATGGGAGACAGAATCCAAAGCAGGCTCCAGGCTCTGAGCTGTCAGCACAGAGCCCAACGTAGGGCTCAAACCCACAAACTGTGAGATCATGACGTGAGCCAAAGTTGGACGCTTAACCAACCGAGCCACCCAGGCGAGAGAAAAGGTTTTTAAAAGACTAAGTTAGCAACCTGAATTTTTTTTTACAATATAAGAACTTAGCTAAATATTTTTTATAATGGAGAAATGTATTATAAAGCACAGTTTATCAAATAAATGTTATTCAATTACACTGGGAAATATAAGTCTCCACGGCATTATCTTCAATTTCTGACAGCAAGTAATTCAAGAAGTTAAAAACTTGGTTAAAGTGCCCAAGAGACTCATTATGAATTATTTCTTTTATTATTTAGATCTGAATGAGATGCCCTAGGAGAATCTTTTATCTACACATAAAGACTCTCTCTTGAATGGTATAGTTCCAAACTACTAAAATATAACCTGAATTTGGAAATCTGTCAATTTTGAATCCATTTGTGAATTACCAAAACAACCTCAAAGACACTGAGGAAACTCACTTTAATTTGCAATTAATATTTAATTTGATGAATATTAAAGAAAAAGCTTTTGCTTTAAAAAAAAGCAAAAACAAAGTTAATCCATAAAAAAGAAATAAAATGACTAACCTTGCCCAAAATTTTTTTCGACTTAGTTATCAAAGTCAAAGCATAAAAATCATCAAGTATATGGCCTACCTGAAATCCTTAATACCAAGGTAATGACCAATACTAATTATTTTCATTTTCTACAATTTATATTACATCTATGTCTGAAAGCATTTATGTAACTGTCCTCAAAAATCGTTTCGCAGGGCTCCTGGGTGGCTCAGTTGGTTAAGCGTCCAACTTTGGCTCAGGTCACAATCTCACAGCTCATGAGTTCAAGCCCAGTGTCGGGCTCTGTGCTGACAGTTCAGGGCCTGGAGCCTGCTTCGGATTCTGTGTCTCCCTTGCTCTCTGCCCCTCCCCAGCTTGTACTCTCTCTCAAAATTAAACATTAAAAAATGTTTTAATAAAGAAAAATTATTTCTCAAAATAGATACACTATATTTATTATTGAGGATTTTTAATTATTTCAAACATTTTATATATTCAGAAGTATATGCTTATTTTCCCTCTTAAAGGTCCTAAGTCTGGGGTCGAACATTTTAGCATTTCTTAATCAGACCTTAAGGGGCCACATTAACCACACACCTAAAACAAGTATTACTTTGCTTTCTTTTCTTTTTTTTTCCAAATGTTATTTTTGAGAGACAGAGAGAGAGAGAGAGAGAGAGAGAGAGAGACAGCATGAGTGGGGTAGGGGCAGAGAGAGGGAGACACAGAATCTGAAGCAAGCTCCAGGCTCTGACCTGCCAAGCACAGAGCCCAATGCGGGGCTCAAACCCACCAACCGTGAGATCATGACCTGAGCTGAAGTTGGACGCTCAACCAACTGAGCCACCCAGGCGCCCCACTTTGCTTTCTTTTCTATTTGTTCATGAATCAAGGATAAGAAGTGAACTACCAACTGTAATTTAGTAGAATTAAAAGTACTAGGTAGCAGAGGACACAGGGATTAGGAAAGGCTTCCCAAAAGTGGTATACTCCAGCTGGATCTTTACAAAGAGTTTGCACAGGGGCACCTGGGAGACTCAGGGTGTTGAGCCTCTGACTCTTGATTGCGGCTCAAGTCATGATCTCATGGTTCATGGGAATGAGCCCCGCACTGGGCTACGTGCTAACAACTCGGAGCCTACTTGGGATTTTCTCTCTCCCTTGCTCTCTGCCCCTCCCTGACTCATGCTCTGTCTCAATCAATCAATCAATCAATAAATGGAATTTGCCACACACATTTAGGAGTTTAGGAGTATGTGGGTGGGCATCAAGATGGTCCCCAAGGATTCTCACCTCCTGATATTCATATCTGTGTGTTATCCCCTCCTCACAAAATAGGACCTTACAGAAATTATGACATGACTTTTGATCCTCTTTTTTGAATTTTCTTTCTTTATTTGAGAGAGAGGGTGTGTGTGTGAACAGTGTAGGGCCAGAGAAAGGGGAGAGAGAGAATCTCAAGCAGGCTCCACACTGTCAGCACAGAACCCAACGTGGGGCTCAAACTCAAGAACTGTGCGATCATGACCTGAGCTAAAATCAAGAGTCATACATTTAACCAACTGAGCCACCCAGGTGCCTCTGATAAGTCTTAAAAGACCCTGAGGCTCTGTCTTGCCTTCTCTTGATCACTCACTCTGAGGGAAGCTGGCTATCGTGTGAAGACACTTGAGAAGCTCCATGCAGAGAAAGTGGAGCTTACTGCTTACAATAACATTAACTTGCCAGCTATATGGGTAAACCACTTGGAAAGTGAATCTTCCAGCCCCAGAAAATCCTTCTGATGATAGCAGCCCAAGCCAACAACCTGACTGCAACCTCATGCGACTTTAAGCCAAAGCAAACCAACCAAACCATTCCCAGATCCCTGGCCCACAGAAACTAAGTATAATAAATGGTTATTACTGTTTAACTAGTTAAGTTTAGGGAGTAGTCTGTTGCAGAACACAGGTAACTAATATAGTGCACAAGACATAAGACAAAGAAGAAGCACAGAGGAATGATACCTGGGCAAGCTTGAGTATGTGCTTCAGGATGGTTAAAGCATAAAGAGACAAGGCTAGAAAAGTACACATGGAACAGGATCAGAGTCTATTTTCTGCCCAGCTAAGGAATTCCAACCTCATCCTTTTGGCCAAGCAATGGTCAGGGAAATTAATGCAAGTTCTTCAGCAGAGAAATAATTGGATCCAAATTTTAAAAGAAATACTGAATAAGAGTAGACAGTAAACCATGACTACAAGCCCTCCCAACAGGGCGACCAGTTAAAATATTCTCTTAATACTGTAATAGGAGTAATGAAGATAACAGTTGTCAGGTAAAACTCCTCTGGGGCCTCTAAGTATTCATAGTCAAAGAGTTCACAGCCCTCCGCATTCCAACCAGCTGACTCCACTACAGGTGTATGTGCACAGTTGATCCTCTCCCACAACCACTTGGACAGAGACCTTTCAGAATAATTCTTACCATTAAGTCATTAAGTCTAGTCTACTCAAGACAGAAGTTTTAATACCAGTGTGGGGTGCTCCAGATGTGTATCCTCATAACTAGTTAATGTTATTCCCTAACCACCAGGAACTGTTAGACCTCAACATCAGTTGCATCATGAGAATGAAGGAAATCTATCAGGAAACCAAAAGCAATTGCTGAATCCAAATTGAGCCCAAATAACCAGCCACCATTTCTAACCCCACCTCACCATCCCATCCAGAGTAGGTCTTTCTTCTGAGCTCTGGTTACCCTCCCTCCTGCAGACCACCTTCCACTTAGCCATATGGACACTGAGGCTCCCCAAAATGCCAGGCATCACTAATGACTCTCAATGACTAATGACTTTCTGCTTCATTGAAGTCAGAAAAAATTCTCATTCTTAAGACTCTAGATTTTCCCCTCTTATCCCAACATATTTATTCACAACAAATTAAGATTCTGATATAATGATTTCATTCATATAATTTTAAAAACAAGTAAATCCAATCTACTAGATGGTCTAAGGATGCATTCATCAGTTTCAAAAAACAAAAACAGTATCCACAAAAAGCAGGATAGTGCCGATCTCTGGAGATGAAGAAGAAAAGTTTTTGACTGAAACAAAATGCATGGGGTAGGAAGTTTTTTAGGAGTGCTGTCGTAGTTCTCAATCTGGGTGGTGGTTACCTAGGTGTTGGCTTTACTGTTATTCATGAGACTGTATGTATACTTGTTTTATATACTTTTCTCTATATTTCTCAATAAAAATGTTTTAAAAAGGGAAGGCTCCTTAACCCATAAACAATGTTCAATAAATATGCAAATAACATATAGAAAACCCACTAAAGAGGATAATTTAAGTAGTATATATGTATGGTTAAAAAGTACTTAGGCCCTGCCAGTAGCATTTTTCTTCTAATCAAAACCAATATTATTTGCCTCCTAAATCAGCAAAAAGACTATTGAACTATCATGCCTCTGCTGGCAAGCATGGTAAGTAAAACTGGTTCTCATACTCTGATGTGATCTCTATAAAGCAGTTTGGCCTTTTGATTCAGAAACTCTTCAAATCTCTTAAACTGAAACATGAGAAGTGTTATAAGCTTAAAAATCTTACCCTCAATGGTTTTTTTTTTAACAGCTGGAAGAAAAATTAGAACCAACATAAAAAATAACAAACCAAACACTGCTTAAGAAAATTATGTAGATCTATTTGAAGAACTATAAGTTATCCTTTAAAATGATCATTATGGTTATTGTAGTTACATTATTTTTTAAATTTTATTGGAAATACATGCTGATATATTTATATATAAAACAATTTTATAGGATTTCCTTCAAAATAATAGGTGAGGGTATAAATAGACCAAACTGGTCCTTAGCTGACAATGGCTGAAACTGAGGGATTAGTACAATGGGGGGTCGGGGTGGGGGTGGGGGTGCTGTCTGATATTTGGTATATGTTTGAAATTCTTCATAATAAAACAAATTACTTTTAATTAGGAAAAAAATTAAGCGATCAATTTTATTTGCATCTTTTTAAGCTAAGAAAAACATATGAAGGGATAGAGGAAAGTAATTCAAAATGCTATGTTTATGTTAAGAAGCCTTCAGTATTTTAACTCTCTCTGCTTTTTTACTTCTATGGTTTAAAAGATATATTCAAATTTGAATTAAGGAAATCTATTCAGCTATTTACTCCTTTGAACATAATTTAATCAAAAAGTTTCTAAAAATTCCAGTTAACCAAAAATTCCTGAATCTATCTTCTAAAACAGACACAGTGAATTATTTTTATTTCCAGCGCACATTTTGGATTTTTCCCTGGCTTTTTAAACTACATTTTTACAGCTGTTCTATTTTGAAACCTAGTTTTCTTCTGCTGCATATTTATGTATTCAATGCTAAAACCAGCACTTTGGTACTTCATATTTTAGCTGAAAAAACAGTTCTTGTCTTTTACTTCAGACAGTTAAAAAGTATCAAATATAGGCAGCTTATGTGGACTCTATTGGCTACTCATAAACTGTTGATCAGCTAATGCCATAAGGAGTACTGTACTTATCTAAAAAGGTAGGTTACTGTGTAACTAGACTAAAACCTGTGTGTGTGTGTGTGTGTGTGTGTGTGTGTGTGTGTGTTTTAATTACTATGAAGAAAATCTAAATATAGGGAATCATTGTTGAAATACACTTACCAGGATGATTGGAAATGGGAGGCTGGAATGCAAGCTCATTGTGAACTGGCCCTGAAGAAAAGACAATAAAAATCCCAATTTTATTTATTAAAAGTTTTCCAATGCTAAAACTTTTAATAAACCTTACTTAAATATAACTATCATACCTTAGGAGTGGTTTAAAACTTATTCAATGTCTAAAAATTTAAAAGCTTAGTTTAGATTACTTTATATAAGCAAATACTCTCAAGGTACTTTTGTGGATATTTAATAGCTAACATTTTAATGCTATGTGCCAAGTGCTGTTAAGCAATTTGCAATAACTGTACACACAAGATTTAAATTATAAATGAATTATTCATGTAAGGTGATAAGAGTGTAATTTACAATGCAATATACAACAATAATTCAAAATCTTAGGTCCGTTCTAAAAACAAATGTTTAAAGTTTATTAAATTAAGGATAAATTGAGAGGTTATTAAGCATTAAAACACTGTGCTAAACCCTTCACACGAATTATTCCATTTGCTTTTTACAACACTCCTTGAGATAGATATTATTACCCTTAAGGCTTAGTTAGTGGGGGTTATATAACCTGCCAATGGTCACACAGCCAGTTAAGGGTCCAACCTCAGCACCTTAACCACTTTGCTGGGCCAGGCAGCCATAAAAAATTACATTCCCTAAGATATGGAAAATAGTAACATAATCGAAAAAAAGCAGGATACAACAATATATACATAGTATGATCCTTTCTCTCCCAATATATATACACCCGTTTATATGACTGGAAGAAAAAATATGAAAAATATTAGAAGTGGATATCTCTACGTGGTAGGACTCTGTAAATTTTCTTATTTACACTTTTCTGTATGTTCCAAGTTTTCTTTGGTTCTATTAATCTAATAATGGAGGAGGAAAAGGAATTGGATACATATGAAAAATTCAGGGTCTTGATTTCACTAAGCCAAATGAACAATGTTCCTCTTCTGTCTGAAATTACAAGCTATGGTTATTAGTAGAGTATCCCTCCAAATCAAGCCTGCACAGAGTAATGATAGAGACAACACGTAAGTGTCTGCATTTTGCTGAAGACTATGATGAGGGAAACCTTGAGATCTTGACACTCAAGGGATTTCAATCCACTTAGGGTGGATATACAGATATACATGAGACCTAAGAACATATACAAAGTAAACAAACAAATGAATGGAAATCAATGTGATGTTAATGAAACATTAGCAACAGAGAAATAAATTTAGTAAACATTACTCCTCTAAAACAAAGGTATGATAACAAAACTATGAAAAGTAAATAATACTGTTTTTACCAAAATGCTGAAAAGCAGTAATCATTTAATGAAACTAAATTGTAAGATGAATAAAAGATGTAAAAACATTTAAAAAAAAACAGAAAGAAAACAAGTTCTCAAAAAGAAAAGGCCCTTAAAACAAAAACAAGAGCTTACAGTAATGTCCGGGATGGGGCGGCATAGGCGGGTGGTGCTGAAGATGGCCGTTTTGGTGGTGAGGCAAATTAGGTGTGTATGGTGCAGTCCTACTTCCAGTCCAGGTGGTAGTGCTGTCTAAAAATTAAGGCCCACATGGATTAATTTGCTTTTATAAAGTCTGCCTATTTTTTCTCAACTACTTAAAAGATTTTAAAAAGCATGTACATACTATGATGGTAAGTAGCTGGCTGACCAGTAAATCCATTCTGCTGCTGTCCTGGCTGAGGCCCTGAAGCTATCTGCAACAATCCTTCACTATGGCTGCCTGCCAGTATACTGGCAGGCTGACCTAGAGGAACAAGAAGACATTAATACGGTACATTTTTAGATGCAATCCTGCGTTTTTATACAGTAAATGAAGGACCAACTATAACTGACGATCGAAGCTATAAAGATGGGCAAAAAGTGGAACTAGTCCATGGTCTATCAAATAACAAACCCTAAAGTCATCTATGAAGGCAAACCTTAACTTGAAAAAGTTGAAAATTATTCTACCTTAAAGTAATGCCTAGCTAATTTTAGAGGCCTTTTCCTTCATTAATATTCTTCATGTGCCAGCAAAATCCCACTACATGTCTAGCCTATCACAGTAACTTCAGAAGCACATCAGCTCATCACTGGCCATGCCATCTAGCTCTAGACCCTTCTAATTAGGACTCCAAAAGTCCAGGCTCAAGAAAATGTTGAAAACTAGAAATTCATTATCATCAGCACTGGTACTGGTAATGGCAAAATGCTATGGTTTGATAAAAGAAAAGCAGAGCAGGCAAATCTTTTAAATGGAATGTGATGGGTAAGGTGAAGTTTAGAAAAGTTCAAGCTTCACTGTTAAATCAATAGAGCATTGCTAGTAAAAACAAAAACAAAAACGAAAAACCACCGAAAAAAAAACCCAAAAAACAAAACAAAAAAAAAACACACAAAAAAAATAACAAAAAAAAAAAAACCCAAAAAACAAAAAACCACAACAAACTCGAAGTCTACTTTGAAATTTTTTCATGTACTTTTAAAAACCAAAAATCATCTCTTTCCAAGAACACTACCATATTCCTGGATTTACAAGAAATTACTTACTCTTTCTATATGTAATATACCAGAAGGAGTAAGACTCCTGTGGCTTCTATTCTATTCAAAACCATTCTACAATATTGCTTACTGACCTACATTTTTTAAAAGATTTTATTGTTTTTTTTTTTTTCTTAAGTAATCTCTATCTTCAACGTGGGGCTCAAACCCACAACTCCAAGATCAAGAGTCACATGCCTCACCAACCAGGCCAGCCAAGCGACCCAATGACCTACATTTTTAAGGCCTTTTTTTTTTTAAGTGGAAAATGCTTGATTTCTTTAAGCAAGCATTAATGAAGTCAATTGTTTATTCCATTTGGAAAGCAATGAAATTTCACAGTTGTTATCTATCACTAACATAACTTCAATCTTTTCTCATCTAAATGGGAATATAATCAAGATACACAAAAGGAAATGACACCATCGATCAAAGTATCAAGGAAAAGGAACATTTTTCTCCTCTCTACAAATCACATTTCCTTAAGGCTAGGATTATAAAATTAAAAGTTAAAGAGATTATTTCAATACTCCCCAATTATTTATTTTTAAACATGATGTTTTTAGAAACCTCCCTTCCTACTCATCCCCCAAAATTTTTTCCAAGTTATCTTCAAATGTTAATGACATTTTTACTCTTGCCTTTAACAACTGTACATGTCAGATTCTTAGCTACCTTACAAAAAGCGTCCCTATATAAGAGAAATGAGATTATTTTAATTTACAGATACTTAAAAAAAAAAAAAAAAAAACCTGAAGATATTCAAGTGCCAAATGAACACAGGTTGTTATTGGTACTGAATATTTCTATTACACAATTCCAAGTGTGTAAGATGAAATTAAACAATACACCTAGATAAGCTTATTTGAAAAAGTCGTCCTTTTTTTTTTTTTAAGTTTATTTATTTTTGAGAGAGCACAAGTGGGGAATGGACAGAGAGAGACAAGGACAGAGAGAGAATTCCAAGCAGGCTCCACACCCCCAGTGCAGAGACCGACACAGGGCTCAAACCCACAAACTGGGAGATCATGACTTGAGCTGAAGTCAGACGCTTAACCAACTGAGCCACCCAGGAGCCCCTGAAATAGTCTTCCAATTCCCCTATTTTGTCCAATTTCTTTTCTTTTAATCCTATCAATACACTTTTTTGAGATCTACAGAACATTTTGAAACAAATTCTTTAAAAATCACGATTCGACTATGAAAATATATCTAAAAAATACCAAGAAAAACTATCTGCATTTCATTCATATCACTTTTCCTGGTTTTCAATAGACTTGGCTCTAGGGAATAGAACAGTTAGAATGAAGTCACTTTAGCAAGCATCAACAAAGGCATGCAAATTTAATCTCCAGATAATATCAATAAAAGTAAGTGGCTGTACTCTATCACTAATCTATGCTTGGCTGGCTATAATGTGCTTTCTTTTATTATCCATCACTGACCACTCTGTAAATAAAGAGTAGACAGATAATAGAAGCACTAAGTGATTAAGAGGGCCCAGGCTCTAAAGTATATGCTTAAACTATAAGATCCACTTAGAATATGCTGTCTATGGTGAGACCGTCATCTCAGGTAGCAAATCCAAAATATGTTGCTACATACATTTTGGTGAAGAGGTAAAACGAATTAAAGGGAGGATATTTGGTATACTTTACTTGTAAACTCAATTATAGAAATTAGTCCCCCATTTATTCCAAAGATCAAATTTCTATTCTGAATCTCATTTGATATTAAATAGAATAATGCTTCCTTTGGTGGCAGCTAACAAAGTATTAGTCCAGATCTATCAACAATCTACTGCTGATGTGGGCTGAGATACACTCTCCTTAGCAACCAGGTGCAAATAACACCATATACATGCCAAGACCCTGCTCTGTAATTAGTTTAAAAAAAAAAAAGCGACTCCACTTGCCAAACAGCAAACCATGCAACATTTGGTGACTGTGCAAATAAACAACAATATTAAAGAACAATATTAAAGGGCGCTTGGGTGGCTCAGTCGGTTAAGCAGCCGACTTCGGCTCAGGTCATGATCTCGCGGTCCGTGAGTTCAAGCCCCGCATCGGGCTCTGTGCTGACAGCTCAGAGCCTGGATCCTGTTTCAGATTCTGTGTTTCCCTCACTCTGACCCTCCCCCGTTCATGCTCTGTCTCCCTCTGTCTCAAAAATAAATAAACGTTAAAAAAATTAAAAAAAAAAAAAAAAAGAACAGAATCATTATTGCCCTGATCAGGCCCAAGAAAAGATAAACCTAATATCCCTCTGTCTCTATAATGTAGCAGAGAAGATGGTGTATCTCTATCACGAAGAGCCTTTTAGAAAAATTTGTTAAAAAAAAAAAGATACACAGAATTTAGCTTTATTTCAAAATTGACTAAAATACATAATGTCTATCTTAAGGGATATAAGTTATGAACAACTTTATCAAGATCCTTTTTTCTAAATTTGTACAAGGGAGACTGAAATGGCTATTATAAAGTAATATTCTGCCAGATAAAAAATAAAAACTGATTAAAGTAAAGCTTGCAATTCCATTAACAGAAATGTTTACAAACATCTTGGTCCAAAACTACTTGTTAACTACTCAAACACTTCTCTAAAACATACCTGAAAGCTCAAGACAATTCTTACTTCTGCATGTAGTAGTAGAGGTAGTACAAATTGACCATTAATTTAAATCAATATTATAATCAAAGTTATTACTTAAATTCCAAGTTGACTGTACATCAACATAAAAACACTTAAGTAGGGGAGCCTGGGTGGCTCAGTCGCTTTAGTGTCCGACTTCACCTCAAGTCACTATCTCGCAGTTTGTGAGTTCAGCTCAGGTCACAATGTCGAGGTTCATGAGCTCGAGCCCTATCAGGCTTTCTGCTGTCAGCATACAGCCCACTTCAGATCCTCTATACCCCTCTCTCTTTGCCCCTTCCCTGCCCACACTCTCTCTAAAAACTAAAACATTAAAAAAAAATTTTTAAGTAAATTGCAAAATTACAAACACCATTTTTTCTAGGACCAACTGAAAGACTTTTTAATACTTTTTTCCTATAAAAGATATCACATTACTTTTAATTTTTACTTGGAGTTTCCTCCAAGTGACTACATGTAAATATTAAATAGGGAAAATCAACTTGCTGACTACACTGGATTCTACTACTCACTTGTGGAAGCCACAGGAATGTTGGGAAAGTTGGTGGTGCTGGTAGCATTAGACTCAGATGGAGCTAACAGAGCTGGGGTGCTGTATGTCTCCGTTGAGGCACGATTACTTGGTGGATGCTGGATGGTTTGAATTGAATGACCTTCAGTGGATAATGATGGCTGCCCTTCAAAGTCATGAACATATTCATCCTTCACCAACATACTTGGTGGAGCTATATAAAAAAGTAAACACATTTAAAAATTTTATAAGCTTCTGTTACCAGAAAAAAAAATCTTGTATTGTAATAACACCTAAAATTAACTATAATGTAAATAACTCTAACTCAGAATTTTTTCATAATATTTGAAAAGAATACTACTTTATCAACAAAAACTATGCATTTAGAAATAGTGACATCAAATATATTTTACCAATCAATCTGACAGACCCCCCAGAAATGTGAAGATAGACTATACTCCGAACAACTTCCAGCAATGATCCTGAAGAGGTATTCCTTAGTTTATTGATTAACCTAGAAGTAATAATCATCTTTTTTTTTTTTTAATGTTTATTTTTGAGACAGAGAGAGACAGAGCATGAACAGGGGAGGGTCAGAGAGAGAGGGAGACACAGAATCTGAAACAGGCTCCAGGCTCTGAGCTGTCAGCACAGAGCCCGACGCGGGGCTCAAACTCACGACCGCGAGATCATGACCTGAGCCGAAGTCAGACGCTTAACCGACTGAGCCACCCAGGCGCCCCGGTAATAATCATCTTAAACACAGGAGTTAGATGAAAACCAAATGGCTGGGGAAAATGTTTATCCAGATGAGAAGACCAAATTGAGATCAAGTAATTAGCTGTATCTTCTTGCTAATTTCACACTGTAGAAATGAGTGGGATCTGATAGCTATCCAATTCCAGGATTTAGACTTATTGTTAAGTGTCATGCATTCAAAGATTGAAACGTATTCAATGTCCGTCCCCTCCAGGGTTAGAACCAAAAAGAAAAATCCTAAATGGTAAGTCAAACTGAAATTTCCTTCTAGAAACCCAAATCAAATGATGTTTGATAAACATATGGTGTGAAAAAACCCAATAATCAACATCTTTCACCTATGTGGTTACGCCTTAAGCAAACCTAGACTCTAGCTGATACAACAACACTTTTCCTTTAACAAATTAGGGAAAGCTGCCTTTCCTCAAGGAAAAAAAGAAAACTTAGACTGCACTGATAATGTCAACTGTTCTCTGCCCAGAACCTCCCTATTTGTTTTAGACTATTGTTTTGGGGTATGCTTTTTGTCTTTAGCAAACAACCCTTTACTGCTTCTAAACTAAAACTACCCCATAATTTTACAACCCACAGAATTCTAATACTAGGTTCTCTTAGAATAATCAATTAACAGTCCACAAGAAGACATTCTCTTTTCCATTAAGAATCAACATCCAGCACCCTTTGTGTTTCCCTTATGTCAGTTTTTGAAAACATTGATTATACATAAATACCAATTAGTTACATGGCTTTTTTTTTTAAGTAGGCTCCATGCCCAAAGTGGGGCTTGAACTCATGACCCTAAGATCCCTGAGATCACAACCCTGAGAGTTGTGTAATCTACAGACTGAGCCAACCAGGTGCCCCAACATGACCTTTTTTTTTAATTGAGAATACTTAAAAGAATAAGCCATTGTTCAAATTACTATGTACAATCTCTTAAAGGGCTTTTTCATACATCAAAAGTCATGAAGACACCGATATAGTTAAGACCAAAAAATTCCGTTCCCAAAAGTTTTTCTTTAAAAAATTCTAGGGAGGGGCACCTGAGTGGGTTAAGTGTCTGACTCTTGGGTTTATGCTCAGATCATAATCTCACAGTGTATGGGTTTGAGCCCCACCTCCAGCTCTGCGCTGACAGTGCAGAGCCTGCTTGGGATTCATTCTCCCTCTCTCTCTTGCTCTTCCCCTCCCCTGCTTGTGCTTGCTCTCTCAAAACAAACACTTAACAAAATAAAATTTAATTTAAAAACATTTTTAAAAATGAAAAAATTCTAGGGAAACAAAAAGATAACCAAAAGGATGCTTAACACATCACTATGTATAAGTGAAAAAAGAAAAAACTGGACCCAACCATTCATCACTAATGTTGGCCAAATCATAAAAATTCAAGAAAAAAGCATTTGGGACACAAAGTGAGTATTACTGTATTTATTCAATCTTTCAAAAAAATTATATCATTCAACAAAGTTCTATAATTTTCTTCATATAGATCCTGACATCTCTATTTAATTCCTGGACATTTTAGAGTTTTTGTTGTTATACTGACTAGGATCTTTTTATCAGATACTGGTATTGCTAGTACATAAAGAGAAAGCTACTGATTTGAGGAAACAGTTGGTCAACTTGATATGCATCGCTTTTGCTTTTCAGTGGACTCTTCGGCCTAATGTGCAGTTGTAACAATTAAATCCTACTTTATGCCTCATAATATTTTTTTTTTGCCTAATACATTGACTAAACCTTTCCCAAATGTAAGCTTGAGACTTCTACCTGACTACAAGTCTCTTTGTCAAATAACTTAAACCATGTCCCTTAGGTGAAACTGTAGGTATCAAGGATAGATGTCTGCAATATACTTTTTTGCAAAAGAAAAAAAGTAGGTTACAAAACACTATTGTACACTATGATCACATGCATGTTTAAAAAATCACATCACGTAATTTAAAAAGCAAGGTCCGGAACAAGTGCACAATATGCTTTTTATTTAAGAAAGGAGGGAAATAATACATGTATTTTTGCGTAAAGAAACCCTGGAAGGAAACACCAGAAACTAATAAAAGTGATTACCTGAGGTAGGGGGGAATGGGGGCAAGGGTGGGAGCACTTCTTTTCACTGTATACCTTTTTATAGTATTTTGATTTATGGACCATGTATTGCCTATTCAAAAAAATAAAATTAAAAAACATATAGTATATATTTTTTAAGTCCAGAAAAACAGACACCAAACTATTAAGTATTTCTCTTTATGGACTAGCATTCCACAAATTCATCCACTGAGTAAATATTTATTGAGCACTTATGTTCCAGGTACGGTTCTAGCACTTGGGATATATTAATAAACAAAAGAAAAATCTCTACCCTCATAGAACTTACACTCTTCTGTAATATTTTTTTATTGTTTAAGTATCTAATATTGAGTACACATTACTCCAGCTTCTCCTAGCTGTCCATCTTGATCTTCATCTAATCAAGTGTGGACAATGCCAACTACCATGGAGGGGATAATGGGAATGGTGCAACATTTGAATTCACTTGGCTCAGTCAGTACCTGACACAAATGTGTACTTAGTAAGTGTTAGCTGTGATGATTTCATTGTACTTTTAGAGCAGTCATACCTGTAGTGACTGGAAAATGTCCTATGAAGTGTAAGGAATATGTATAAGGGACAGAAAAGCTGAAGCCACTGGGCTCACCTCCGACCACAGCACTTCTCTGATGCTACTCTTGCTGTCTCATTTACCTTTTCCTTTTCCTTCCTCCACTAGACTATGAGCTACCTAGAGTGGAGAAAACATACCTTACTTATCCTATCACCCCGAGATCCTAACACAGTACCAAGCAATACACGCTCATTAAATCTTCTTAAAATGAATATGCAGGCTGATGTGGTCATGGAAAGTTTCATAGAAGACAGGAAATAAGCTGGAAATGATTATCACCAAAATTCCAACTCAAAAGTGAAGGAATTATCCCATTTTCTTAACTTTTTCTTTACCTGGCTTTGTATTATTTCTTTGTCCAAATCTAGAAGGGACTGTGAAAAACATCTGTTGTTTTCTGAGGAAATGAACCACTGAACCTGGCCTTAACAAACCACCACTAGGGGGACCTACAAGGCTAAAACAGCCCTAGAGCCACTAAAAAGAGCTGATCATCCACACAATCCGACCAATAACAGCTACTCATGACAGCAGTATTTCAGAGTAAGGGAGGAGTGTGATGAGTCCTCAGAATTGGATCTCCTCACAACCACCACCACTAAGGAAATTCTGATATAATTATCACTACAGTCTCCCAAACCCTAGTACTTTAATTCTCCAAAAGCAGGGATGGAAAAAGGTGAAAATCTGAAGGGTATTTACTTTCGAAGAAAATAAATGACATAATATCAAGGGTTTGAACTAATCTTAAAGGTACTCTTCCCAGACCACTACCACATTACCAACCCACTGTTCTCAGAAACCTACTAACCACTAACAAGTAACAAAAGGCACTAGAATCTTCCTCCATTATTCATGACATAGAAGAAAAATGGACAATAAAAACAAGTAGACTTTCATGCTCTTCCTAAATTTTGTTTAAGGTTGTTAAACAAATGGATGGTAGTTCTGACCCACCCCTAAGACTCTGCAACAAGAAGTGCCAACCCACCGATTTCCCTCCAGAACAGCACACCTTTCTAAGATGACAGTGGTTCTTTATCAGAATTTCCCTGTGAATTAATTAGTTCCTACAAAAATTTTAGTTAATTAACACGTTCTAAGTAACAGCGCTAAAGTTTTAACAGAACTCTGTTCTCAAATATTATACTAAAAAACAAAACAAAAAACACCCCCCCATTGATTTAATTTCCCCACCTCAAAACTCTCCTTTTAAAAACAGAATTGGAAATTATCTATGAAAGTTAAAGTAGCCTTGTTTTATCGACTCAAAATGTAACAAGACTGAAAAAATATTTATATATATATAAATAAGTTAGAAACAAAGAAAAATTAGAATATTGGTATTTTTAAAGGATATGTTATACATGACTCTAAATTACCAGACATTATCGGTATCTATATTCATTTAAACTGTTCTGTGAGATTTTCTTCCAAAATAGTCTGTTTTTACCAATCAAAAAATATTGTTTATGTTTTATATTCTCCTATCATTTTTTTTTAGACCACTTTGGTACATAAGTGTAGTTCAAATCCAAAGAACCAACAGCCTATTTAAATCCAGTTTTAAATACTGATAAATGTCCCCCCAAATCTACATTTCCAAAACAGTAAGTATTTTTCTTGAAAATGCTACCAGAACTCACACAAACTAATTTTAGGTCAATAAAAAATAGAGGGGACAGGATAAAAGAAAACAGAAAGTTACAAGAAACAGATTACCTACCATTACTCTGCAGTGTTAATCCTGAGAGATCTTAATTTTTTAAAGGGGAAAAGAAAATGAAACATTAATCATTACCACAATAATATTTTCCATTGTATTTAAAATTACAAAATGTAATTTTACTTCACAAACCATTTCAATCCAAGATTAGTAGTATAAATACTACTATTTATAACTGACAATACATAAACTATTCAACCTATAATGCCTTCCATCTTATTTTTTAAAAATAATGTTCTAAATGGGCAGAATATGAGCTATAGTGTATACTTAATTTTAGCAGTCAAAATACAAATCTGTTCTAAAGTTCAAATTTAAATATTTATATTTCATTAAGAATATCTGACTCTTTAACCTTAGTTGAAGTACTGCGCTATCTCCAAATTTATAATTTAATGTAGAAAAATCAAATTATTGAGATCTGTTCCCTTTGTGCATCTAAGGATAAGAGCAAGTTCTACTCACCAATTCCAGGTGATACAACTCGTTCATAGTGATATGGATTTACACAGACACTATCACATTTTAAGTCAAATGCATACTGACAATATTTAACATGTTTGAGTTCATTTTTGTGAAGATCAGGCCACCTCCAGAGACGGGCATATATCACATGAGGAAATCCTTTCCGACCAGCCACCTAGGAAAAACAAACAACCATTTACTGGTCATCAGTTAATATACTGATCATACATTAAATAAGGCACTTAATATATATTCTCATTTAATTCTTACAATCCTACAAAGTCAGTATTATAACCCCCATCTCATAAGTGAGAAACATTTATGAACTAAAGTTACTTCTTTGAGACCTGTGCTCAAGTTTTTAAAATGCAAAAAAAAAAAAAAAAAAGTATGAGTTTGCTGAAGTACCCATTTCTAAAATCTAGAAATAAACATTTTAAATCTAATGACAGAAGATTTCTGTATGTTTCTTTAAAAACACGCAGCACATTGGGGCGCCTGGGTGGCGCAGTCGGTTAAGCGTCCGACTTCAGCCAGGTCACGATCTCGCGGTCCGTGAGTTCGAGCCCCGCGTCGGGCTCTGGGCTGATGGCTCAGAGCCTGGAGCCTGTTTCCAATTCTGTGTCTCCCTCTCTCTCTGCCCCTCCCCCGTTCATGCTCTGTCTCTGTCCCAAAAATAAATAAACGTTGAAAAAAAATTTTTTTTAAATAAAATAAATAAATAAAAACACGCAGCACAGAAGATATATGATATAGTTCTATACAAAAAATATAATCACTGAAAATGCAAGATTAAAAAAATTATAAGATATAAGCTTTTAATACTAAATTTTAAAGATATGTTTGAATTCTTTTAGAGTTTTTCATATAAAAGTACCAAATATACAGTATCAGATTTCTAAATTAGAAAAGGACCAAATATAACTCAGTTTTTAAAATGTACATATAATACCAAAAAAAGAAGGAAAAAAAGCTACAAAAATGAATACCAAAGTGCTAAAGGTATGGGGTTTCTTCTGCTTTTTGCTTTTATTTTCCAAATTTTCTACTTTGAATTTTTTTCTTGTAACATTAAAAAACTTAAAATATAACTTTATTATAAGGAACATCTATTCTTCCATATATTCCCATAATCATATTGGTACAGGATGTAGAGTACCTGAAGAAATGGAGCAAACATTAAATTATCCAATAGTAATGTAAGAGAAAGCAAGAATATTTTAATCTGCCACTACAAAACATATAGAAAAACTCTAGAACAAGACTAACCTGAAGCCTCCCATCCAATGTTCTCTGTATGGTAACACATTTGCTAGGATGAGCTCCATTTGTAGTTATAGCTGTTATTAAAGAATCCAGTTCATCTTTTTTCTCCTTCAGCTTCTTTACCAAACTTTCAATTGCTCTCTTTGCAAATGTTTCACTCTCTCCACCTTGTCTATGGCACATCAAACTATGTACAATGCTCAGACAGGCATCATTACTTGTTGGTGTATTTGTGATAGACATATTGTCCATTTGTCAAAGTTATTCTTTTAAATCAAATAGGTCTCCAATTTCCGGAGAAATTTTGATCTTTTGGAGGCAGTGAAAAACAATGACTAACGTTGCAAGGAAAATTATTAGGCATGTGGTATTCAGGATAACCTAAAAAAAATGAGACAAGGACATTAAAACACATTTCACAAAGTAGATTCAATTACTTGGGAAAAGAGGGAGTTGCTTCAGTTAAATCAAAGACTCAACGTACATACTTTAAATTTTGTACTTAGAGTTTTAAATAACTTAATTAAAATGTTGCTGTTTCTGACATTCAAAAAAAATATTAAAGTTAGGCCTTCTCATTATTATAGGGGCATACTCAATCAAGTCTTGTGGACTGAACTAGTCACCCTAAAGTTAAATCTTGACTTTTTTAAATGATTACTAATGAAGACCAGCACTTTAAAACACGCTTGATTGACTAGTTAAACCTAAATGTCTACCATAATACACATGAAAAATTTACCATCACCTGATACGAAATGCTGTTTATCAGTTAAAAACACCCATCTTTGTTATAAGAGACCACTGACAACAGTAAAAAAGATGAACACAAATTTTTGAATGGGCAAAGGATTCTAATACTCCTCTCTCCAAAGAATGGCCAATATGCATATGAAATATGCTAACATCACTAGTCAACAGGGAAATGCAAATCAAAAACACAAGGAGATACCACTTCACATTCACTAGGTTGAGTAAAGCAAAAGGGTAGATAATCATAAATATTGGTGAGGAAGTGGAGAAACGGTACCCTCATCCACTGCTGGCGGAACTGCAAAATGGTACAGCCACTTTGAAAAGTAGTTTGACAATTCCTCAGAATGTGAAACACAGAGTTACCGTATGACCCAGGAATTCCACACTTAGCAATTCTACCCAAGATTACTGAAAGCCTATGTCCACACAAAAACCTGTACATAAATGTTCACAGCAGTTATCATTCATAATAGCCAGAAGTGTAATACAAATGTCCATTAACTAATGACTATTTAAATGAGTATATATATCCATACAATGTAAACATTATTCAGTCATAAAAAAGAATGAAGTACCATTACCATGCTAAAACATGGATGAACCTGGAACACATGCTAAGTGAAAAAAGCCAGTCACAAAAGGCCACATATCGTATAATCCCATTTACAAGAAATATCTGAACAGGCAAATGCATACAAAGAAAAAGTAGATTAATGGTTGCCAGAGGCAACTCCAAAGGATATGGAGTTTCTTTTAGGGCTAATAAAATATCCTAAAATTGATAATGGTGATAGTTGCACAACTCTATCACTATATGAAAACCACTGAATTATACATTTTACAAGAGTGAATTTTAGAGTATATCAATCATATCTCAATAAAGTTACTATTCTTTTTAATGGTTATTTATTTTTGAGACAGAGAGCCGCAAGCCCATGCACGTGGGGCAGGGACAGAGAAAGAAGGGGGAGAGAGATAGTCCCAAGCAGGCTCAGTGCTGTCAGCACAGAATCCAATGCGACACAGGGCTGGACACAGGGCCCAGTCTCACAAGCCATTAGATCATGCCCTGAGCCAAAATCAGGAGTCAGATGCTTAACCAACTGAGCCACCCAGGTGCCCCCCAATAAAGTTGTTATTAAAATGAAAGACCACTTAATTCCTCAAAAGATTTTACCTGTAATAAAGTAAGTTATTTTCAACAGAAATCAAAATATAGAAAATGAGTATTAGTGAAGCATCTATCCAATATGTGTGAAACTAAAGTAACTTATCTAACCTTAAGATCCCACATGGAATAAGAAAAGGCCATCAGTCTAAGAATAAATGAAGTAAAGCAGGAGTGGAGGCTATACTTTATGCTGAGCTGTTTTTAATTTGTTTGCTGATGATATTCTATTCCATGCCTATTCTGCTTTTATTTTCTTTTGCTATTTACTTGAATCATTGAAAATCTACCCCCCTGGGTACCTGGCTGGCTCAGTCGGTAAAGCATGTAACTCTTGTTCTTGGGGTCGAGTTCAAGGCCCACACTGGGCATAGAGCTTTACTAAAATTAATCTACCCGCACCCCCCCCCCAACCAAATTAATAAAACTAACTCATCAGTCTCTACCAAAGCTTGTTACTCTTCTGATGACTTTTACTTTATTTAATTCCACTCAATTACCCAGCATTGGAAAGCGTGATAAGTCATCTCTGACTTCCTTCTCTCTTTTCCTACCCCCATTACTTCTCTCTTTTACTACCCCCATATTCTCTCACAAAGTTACATGATTCTCTACCTTTGTCATTTCTAGCAGTCTCCTCTCTATTCTCCCTGATGCTGTTGTAGTTTTGGGTCTCCTAGGCATTTCTATCAATCACTTGGTATTTACCTCATGTTCCCCTCTATCTGTTTTACATAAATGCCTGTCTTCTCAACTAAATTAGCCCAATACAGAGAACGTTTTCTTATACCTTTGAATAGCAAGCATTTGCCCACATTCAATAAATACATGTTGAAGGTAGATTTTCTGAATAACCCAAGATTACCTGACTGGGGTGGTGGGGGACGTTGGGAGTCAGAGACCTGGGTTAGAATCCCAGCTCTCACACTAAGTAGTTGGACAGATTAAGTTAAACTCTGAACGTGGCTTAAAAGGAGTACACAGAGCTCAAGGGAGAAAAACTACATGAAATGCCTAGCACATAATGTTCAGTAAAAAGCAGCTACAGTGTGAGTACTAAAATGTTTACTGTTTATAGTCTGAGTACTAGAATGTTTACTTTAAAAGAAGATTTTCCCATAACACATTACTCATGTTTCTGTATTTCTATTAAAACTTGTAAAAGAAGGGGCGCCTGGGTGGTGCAGTCGGTTGAGCGTCCGACTTCAGCCAGGTCACGATCTTGCGGTCCGTGAGTTCGAGCCCCGCGTCGGGCTCTGGGCTGATGGCTCAGAGCCTGGAGCCTGTTTCCGATTCTGTGTCTCCCTCTCTCTCTGCCCCTCCCCCGTTCATGCTCTGTCTCTCTCTGTCCCAAAAATAAATAAACGTTGAAAAAAAAAAAA